AGACCACCCATGGCTTTTGAATGAAAAGACTTCAACATACAAACCATGAACTGCTAAATACTATCATTCTTCACAAAATACTGAATAACACAAAATACTGATACGTTTCAGATTTTGAATCCAAGAGAATATCTTAGAACAGAAGGAAATTAGAATATAAAATGCCACTTGCAGACTTCTATAAGGAAGTAGCAGTTTGACAGAAAACTTATAAAATACATATGTTTATTTATTATTATGGTTAAATTGGGAAAGAACTTACTTGAAAAGCAGAAAAAGCTATGTAACCTGTAAAAGTAGTCTAAAGAAAAAAGACCTGTTGTGATCACCAAGTCAGGCTGCTCCTACAGAGTCAATTGGTTTTGTTGTTGCAAAAATTGGGCCGGCTGTTTCAGGCCTGTGTATTTGAGGGAAAATAGTTTATCATGAAAGGAATTAAGGGAAAAAGATGACCAAAGAAAAAGAATAAAAATGGAAGGATTCAACAAAAAAAAGTCACAAAGGAAAAATAAATATATAAATAAATAAAAGGAGCATCATTTAAAAGAAATCATTAGACTTCCTGGAATATGCAGATGTGATATAAAAATTGTTCAAGTATCTTTCATTTCAATAGTACCTTAATGGTAACAAGGGATTTTATCTATTTTAAGCTTGAGGTATGTCAGCTTAAAAGCATGGCTGATAACTAGCTTTACTGATCAGATCTTTATGGGTGTCATAATTCTATGGCACCCTAAATTTAGGCAAGCTTTCAGATGTTTGCATCACAGTTTCATCTGAGCAGTATTGCAGTTACCAATCCACTATTTACATAAAATTCTGTTTTATCTAGAAATTTTCTCCTCAAATACATTTGTTAACAGATTATTTTAATATTCACTTGCGTAAACTTGTAAAAATTTTAGAATCAAATAGCTGAAAATCATGGATTTTTCCTGATGTTATCAGCTCGTCTGAATGAGATGTTGACGAGATACGAATTCCCCACCAACAGTCCTGTAGCCAACATCAGGTTTATAAATACAAAACTTATAGCTCAAACTATACATGAATTTCAATACATAAAGTTCAATAACCTACTGAATCTGATATGGTTTTTGTAGTAGGTATATCTAGATTACCTAAACTATCCACCAAACCTTGGCCCTAAACAGATCATGCAGCTAAAACAGGAATACATTTGGACCTTCAGTAGTAACTGGATACTTGTTTCCTCTCTACCTGCTGAAAATCTTCCCAGTATCTCACATGGTTTCATTCACTTTGTCTACTGAAACAGAAAAGACAGAGGTATAAAAAAAGTCTAGGTTGGAAAAAACCTCTACACACAAAACAAACTCCCAAAAGCTGTATAAAATCAGTTATGATATTGACAGCTTTGCTGGTGATTTTTCTTTCTGGAAATGGTAGATACTGCAACCTGGCCAGCTGGTTCATGTGCAGCACAGATGACTTCGCATTTCAGCTAGTTTCACCCCTTCAGGTGCAGTAGCAAACCTTCCTTAACAGCCCTCCCATACAAGATGCATTTGAAAACCTCCTTATGTTAGTTTAGGCTTGTAATTCACTAGTGTATAAAACCATTTCCAGGACAAATGCACACATGCACACACTGCAAGTGATGCGTCCTCCCAGGCTCTGGTAATTCCTCTCTTTGAAATGGCTTTTGGGTGCCCTTTGTCCACTTGCCTGCCCTCAAAGATTTTCAATGACTTTGCTTCTTCTCTGCCTTTTTCCAGCTTCTCCAGTATCTTCTGGTTTGGGTTTTGACCGATTTCTTCCTTCCTTATGCATTACCAACACTGAGGGATTTTACTAGCAGTGACTAATATAAGATTTAAACTTTAGCAGATACCACCTACTGCTGAATTATAAAAAGCAAAGGTGTATAGAACAGCAAGAATTCTCTGGCAAAGTTGCAAGCAAATCTGTACAGTAAAGTTCAATTATTTTCCACAGAAAGAAAAATGGAAAAGCTTAAAAATGCTGTGCAACATGAAACCTACATCACACACATTAGAACTGCATTTGATTTTCTGAGGAAACAGTTAAAATGTTTTCAGAAGAATCCATTTATATAACACAACACATCAACATGCAAGCTGTGTAAGTGCCTTCATTCTAAGCAGCTTCTGAAATAAATTTATCTGACTCTGTTGATTTTTTGCCTTTCTAAATGTAGCACACATTCCTAAAAAGAAGCCAAGAGGCAAATCTCCTCCTTCCCCCCAAACAGTCTTTGAGCTTAGATTTACACAAGAAAAAAAAAAACGCTAGCTTTTTTGTAAAGTTGTGTGGGAATGCCCTCCGTATGAGTGAATAAAGGCCATCCTACTTTTGTCCCCTCATACCCTATGCTTTCTAATAATTCCAAAGAATTAAGAAGAACTATTGTAGTGACTACCATTTATAACTGCTTTAGTTGTCTCCTTATTTTCCTAGAGTTCCTGGACAGGGGACAGTGAAAATTCTTAGGAACAAGACCCCTATTAGGCAGAAGTTAAATGTTTTTACCACTTTGCTACATCAGAGCAAACCCATAAATAGAAGCCTGTTCTGTCAGTGGATGGAATCACTGAGGACCACATAGCAGTAACAGTACAGTATCCATTCTAAGCCAGCCCTGTTCTCAGAGCAACATCTTGGCTCACATCTTAAATGTCATCACAATGATGCTTCAATTTGCAAATTAATGCTATTTTCCACACCATGGTAATTTTATGATGCTCTCATTCTTTGTCTCTTACAACCATGAATGCTTCTCTAGTAACCAATAACAGACAAAGCCGTAGTTTATTTTTCAAGAAGAGTGAACATAACTTTTAAATTTCTTTTCAATAGAGATAATATGGACAGTAAGATGTCCGTTGAAATACATAAATACATGTAAATATGCACTTCTCACTGCAGGGAACAGCCATGCTAAGTATTAATTTGGAGTCTTAAATACTATGAGTCACAAAAGCATCTGCTTGTATCACCCAAGTCTTTGATTCATGCCTCAAGAAGCACAGGTAAACAATCACTGTTCCAGATTCCCTAAATTTTCCTGAAATTCACTCATGATTTGTTTGAATGAATACTTCAAACAATATTTGTTTGAATACTAAATGAATTCAGATGTTTATTCCCTCTCTTTAAATAGCTTTTCAGCATTTTAAAATCAGAAATTGACATTCATGACAAAGATGTATTTAAGACGAGACCGTGTACTGGTCTTAAAACCAAAGAGTTTACAGCTCTCTGGAGTAAGGTTTCTTTTATTAGTATTTCTTCCCATTTTAATTGAATTAAAGAAAACCAAAAAAAAGGAACCAAAATTATGAAGACCACCAGCGCTGTAAAAAAAAGAAAATATCTCCCAGGGTTTCCAGTTCTCTCTCCTCAGTGCTCTGGAGTCCAGATGTGGAAAGCCCAGTGGAGCTGAAAACATTTTTGGAGGGTGGAGAGAAAGTTTTGATGCTACTGCTGTAGCCTTATTTTATCCAAACCAGACAATTACCTTTCTTCATTAAGAATAAAAAGCCAAAGGCAACCACCACCAAACCCCACCTTTTGTATATTAGTACACAAATTAATTTTAATTGAGCCTGGTAAAGAAAAATAAATGCTCCGCAACTTAGCACTTACAAGCAAAGAGGCCTTGCAAGGCTGCTGCCTTAACTCAGACCATATATCATCTCTGAAATCCTCTTTGTCCAGCGTGCAAGTATATTTTTAAGATACATATTTTTCCTGCTCCCATATTGAGCAAGCCCATATTGATTTGCTGCAGTGACACCAGGTCACAAGCTACGTAGGAGCATTCCCATATCTTATGCAGCTACACCTGGAATATGGTGCTCAGCTAAGTGATGACAAGGGTGGTCAGTGAGGTGATGATAAAAGTCTATAAATAGCTCAAGAGGGTGAACTCTAATGAGGAATAAGTATTGTTTTAAGGTGGTCTGAACAAGCTTGATTGGTAGAAACAAAAAGATGTCCTGACACCCGGAGCCAGGCACAAGTTGCTGAATAGGAGCTTGCACATGGTACAAATGCCAGCAGTTCATTTGGGCTTCGCCTTGCATGCACCACAGGCGTATAATGAATTTACTATTTCAGAAAAATCATTATGGTAGACTTCAAATATAGTAAAGACCTTCAACTGCTAAATTAGTCCCTAAATTCAATAGTCCACCAACAGGAGCCACATGTTCAGGGTATTTAGCTACACCAGACAAAGCCCTAGAAACAGAGAAGAAGAACTAAACCTGCCCAGAAAGGAGAACAGACATAAACCCTGACAAATCTGTCATACCTTCACTTTCCATGGTTCTGGAAAAACATGCACGTGGGACTTGGGAAAGGTCTTTTTAATGAGGGTTAATTGGAGAAGTATGTCACACATGACTGAGTACCATTTCAAATAACTGCTCATGCTGGCATAACTAAATCAGGCAAATGACAGAACACCAAAATAGGGAATACTCAATCTTCTTCCCTCCTATTTAATCTTTATAATTTCATTATTCTCAAAATATCCAAATATCTGACATTATAGATTTTATTGAATTTATTGCTTCTTTTAAAATATTATGAGCACATCAGTATATTCCCCAGTGATCCAATAGTTCTACTAAATATATTTTCTATTGTCATTCAAATTATTAGTCTATGCTAATTGGAACTGCTGGATTTGTTTGTCTGGCTTCTGTGATGCAAAAGCTCCAGTTATGTGATCCTGATAAAGCCCTTTCTGGGCTTAAAAAAAAAAAGAAAAAGTCTAGAAAGGAGAAAATAACCACACTTTAGCCAGCCAGAATAGAGTTATTCCTGCAAAAATCATCGTACAACCTGTAGCACTGCATTACTTAAAAAGTCAAGTCCCTAGCCCTGAACCAAGTCACTTCAGTTTCTCCGCGCTGCCCAAGTTAACTGCAAGCATTTCCTGACACCCAGAGCGCAGGCAGAAAAAGGAAAAACGTCGACTTGAGAAAAGCACAGCTTCCAATCCCCACCCACCAGCTTCAGTCAAAGGGATGACTTCAGTCCCTTTCTTAACTAATCCTGTCACTGTAAAATCCTACAGTCATTCTTCCACACATAAAGGGAAAACGGACTCACTAGGAGGACTTAGACTCTTTCAGCTTGAACTGTTAGCCAATGGTGGAAATGCAAGAATGCTGAAGTTGTGCCTTCGGAGCCAATAGAGTGGATTTGTGTGTCCCACATGACTGTGTTTCCCCTGTCTTTCACATGGGCAGTATTTAGTTCAATTCAGAACTGCAGATAGTATAGCGTGCAGAGCAGCAATGGGATGTCTGAGCACAAGTGGCTGACTTCCAGGCGACTTCAGGAAGCGCATTTGTAATATTTCTCCTGAATTAAACTGGGATTCTGCACTCTTGACATCCTCCGACCCTCCTTGTCTCTGCAGAAGGAGACAGCGACCTGCACAGCACAGCAAAACTGTGAGTACGGAGTCTATTTTTATTTTTACCCAGAAAAACAAATCTCTTCAAATTGTTAAAATGCTGTCTGCAACTGAACTGATGGTTACTTTTTCTGATGAGACAAACAAGTAGCTAAAGTGTTATTCAAATTCAGACAGAATTTTTGCATTCTTCAATGAAAAAAAAAAAGAAAAAGGAAAAAAAAAAGAAAAAAGAGAAAAAAAAAAGAGTTATTCTCCAGGGCAGTGCCTGCATGCACACTGCATGCCACACTGCTTCCTGACATAGCCAGCATGCTGCTTTGTTCATAAAGAAAAACAAAGACAAAAAGCCCGACACACGTTATGTTGTTCACTTTTATTTGTACTCTGTGTCTAATCAGGCCTGATCTGTCCCCAAGGGGCAAAAAATAAAGGCAAACTTTAACTCTGCCAGCAAGGGCAGCCCAGACTTTCCAGACATCTGACAGTTATTATAATTAGCTATGAAAGACAGCGAAGACACTTTGGGGCAAATAGCTCTTACATTTGGAACAATGAAGTCGAGCAAGGTTCCCATCCCACCCCTTCCACGGGGGGAGGGGGAGAGGCGAGCCAACGGAGGGGAGTGTTAGGAAAGGGTTATGGCTGGACTGAAAAAACACAACTAACATAATATCTGGACTCACTCAGCACAAGGAGAGGCTTTTTGATAAGCAACTTTACCTCTCGATAGCAGCTTGCATTCACTTGGATTCCTGGCAGGGTGGGAAAGGGTGTGGGGTTCTTGGCAGCATAACGTCAGAAGGTCGGGGTGGAAGGGGCAGCGGGGGCAGAAAGAAGAGAATATCTATAACAAGAGACATTGCAATTGCTTCCCAGAGCTTTGCTGGCCAGATCTCCTTAAGCCCAAGTTGCTTTCTGGGCAAGATTTACGAGAGTTCTCAAACAGAAGCAACAGACAAAGCAGAGTTGTTTGGTTTTTTTTTTCTTCCTTCTTCTCAGGAAAAAAAATTGAACCCAAACGGGTAACTGTGTAATAAGAAGCACTAATTTGCATTTTTGTTCATTTTCTCTGCCCCCACATGTTCATGAGACCTTTAATAAGATCTCACCCCCACACACACACACACCCCCCCCCCGACTGCATGCTTCTTCCCACCCCACCTTCCCCTACCAAAAGTTAGATTCTGAAAACTACCATCAGAAGGGAAAAAGCAAAGACAATAGAAATCTGACTCTGTCCTGGCTGGGCTGGATCTCTAATAGAGCATGAAGTAAAAACAGTTGCTAAGTGAAAGATGAGCAGAATGCTTTAAAAAAAAATTAAAAAAAATGAAAAAAAATAAGTGCAATAAGGAGAAATTGCTGAAAGACTCCAGACGCTACTAATTATGGCTTAAATAAATCTTCCTGGACAGATGTTTGCTTGCTCCCACTGCGGGAAAAGGAACGTTAAAAGAACACCCCCCCCCCCTTTTTTTTTTTTTAAAGAATTTGACATGAATGTCTTACCTTTTTTTTTTTTTTAAAAAAAAAAAAAATACACCATTTTATTCTTTGTCTGCCCTCCTGTTATCTCCCCCTCCCCCAACCGCCGCCCACTGTGAGCTGAGACACCTGAAGGCTAGACACAATGATCAACAGAGCACTGCGCTCGCCTGTCTGGATTCCAGCCAGATTTCTTTTTTTTTTCCCCTTCACAATCAAGGAGCCTGCACGCAATGCATGGCAAGCCCCTCACTCTGCTATGTGCAGATCAGACAGAAGTCTGAACCGCGTTGCAGAAAGATTAAAGGCAAACACAAGCCTTTCTTCCTTATGTCGGCCAAGCTCGGTTTCAACTTGATTGTGATTTGCAAGAAAATATGAAATAAGAAACTTTGCAAACATAGATAGGCACCTTATTGTAAAAAACATGTGCATGTGTGCACACACGTTCTAACACGGTGTAAAAAATAAGGGCATCCACTGTTCCCCATTTTACAGTGGTTTACACTCTAGCTGTACAGTCAATGCAGTATTTTATGTTAAGTTCATGCATCACTTACATAATTTGCCATGTAGCTCAAATACTATGAACAGATTTTGTATATGTACAGATTACACTACAGGCAAATAGATGGTGTACACAGACCTACATCTAAAAGGCAGTCAAACTGAAATATTTAAATATATTTGGGTTTAGAGAGATTAGCAAGATCTCCTAGACAGTTTTGTGGCAGTTTTAAACAAGACAGTAGTAAAATGCTTCACAAGTAGGTTGTCTTCAAGCCACAGAAGGGGAGCGTGGCAGGGGACTAGCTAGCTGGCCTCACAAGCCTCCTCCGCCTTCCTGTTGCCACAGCCCAGAGAAATGCTGACTGGCTCAGTGCCATAAAGTTGTTCTTGGGAATGCAGTACTCCCCAAAATAGTTGCTCTCCGTTTGGTGTGGCTATGGGTGGGGTTAGCAGAAGCATACAGGGAAAAGGGAGATTCAAAGCATTTATTCTATTTAATTTTTAAATGTATGGTGTGCAGACCTATTTTCTAAAAGTTCTTTGAAACTGCATTGTCTTTTGGTACAAAGTATGGCATGATGCACATGGCAATTATTTTCTGCTTTTCACTATGTATTTTGGGCAAAAAAAAGACTCAAAAGGAAAAACATGTTTTAAACACATGCATACGTACACTGCTTCTAATTTAGTCCTGGAAAGGCTTAAACTATATTTTAGTCACATTAACAGGTATTGTAATACAAAGATAGGCTTTGTTTTGTTTTGATATATAAAACAAAAATGTATTGCTTATAAGCAATATTAAAAAAAGGAAACCAGTATAAGTGTCCCATAAATTTAGTCTTAGAAAGAACTTCCTTCCAAATAGCAGTAGAAACATACAAACAAAAGGTTACATGTGGTGGCAACAATATCCACAGGCAAGGTAAATATACTAGAAAAGAGATTTCAGAGAAGTGGATGGAATGAATTTTCTGCTGTCAAATTTGTATTTATGGATTGTTTGGGGTTTTTTAAACAACAGATTTATCACTTTTCTGAAGGAACATTTACATACCTTGTATGAAATATACAAGCAAACAGTGCAGTGGTCATATGATAAGTATATACTTGCAAGTTACATGTATATGCATATACACATGTTCACTAGTATTAACATGCTAAATTCCTTTCTACTTTTACTGGCATATTATTCTTGAAAAACAAAATTTGTCACTTATGTTTCACAAATGTGTTTCAAAATAATGCCTGCAGCTACATTTTGAAGTGCTGACACTGAAGTGTATTTTCTTAAAGGTAATGACAATAACCAACCATATATTTTTATCCATTTCCTAAGACTGAAATCCTATGCAAATCAATTCCTCTAAACTTTAGAAGTCATATACATCCTTTTATTATAAGGGATTTCAACTGGCAACTTATTTATTGTTTACCAGTGCAAAAGCAACAACTAATCACATAAAAGCATTAGACCTGAGTATACGAACACAGGGCCCTTGCCTTCATGTTTAGTTCAACACTCTCCCCTTCTTCCAGTAAAGTCTCTTGGGTTTTGTGAATGCTGGGAGTTCAACAGTTTTGGCTTAAGTAGATAGGAGATATAAATGCCCAGTGTTTTTTGCAAATACGATATTATCCTCCAGCTGCTGTTTTCCAGGCACCCGAGATTTGGAGCTATGTGTTTTAGCTTTTTATACAAACAGTTTATTCATCTAAATGTGAAAAATTCTGACCTGTGTTTTTGTGCTGACTTATTTAAACTTTCAAATAGTTGATGTTGAGACAAAGCAATCATAGAAGTTTATGCATATTTTTGACTCCTTTCCCTAAGAAATTTATGTCTGTTACAGCTCATCTCTTAAGTCTATGGCCTTCAATTGGTTGTGCAAACTCGATGGTGTCACTTGCAGAAACCTCAAGTTCCAATTTCTGTTTTTAAACTCTCCTCTCCCCTCTTCCCCCATACTTCCTCTGTTGCATCTGCTTGTTTGAGCTTTTCCTAGTCTAAGCAGAAGTGTAACTTTTAGCCATAAGAATAGAGAGCTCAGGATTACTTCCAAAACTTTCAGAAAACTGGTTGTTTCACTTATACCTTTACACAGCAGAAGTAATTTGAGAGCCTACCAGAAACATCCTCAGTCTCAATAAGGTAACAGGTCCAAATAAGCTCATGTAATTACAGATAGGAATTCCTGAGAACCGTGCATTGCATTTTTATAGATAAAAAGCCCAGAGTGTTTTAATGTAAACAGATTTCTCTGCGATATTTTGCCAAACTGCTGCAAAGCTCAAACTACAGTTGAGCCAAAATGACTTTCGGCATGGTACAGTTAGACCAGATGGCCACGTGTTCTTTTCTTATTTAGATGAGACTTTTCCTTTCAATAACATCTTTCTTCCTGACCTGCTTAAAAATTCCAGCGAATGAAATCAGCACAGGATTTTCAATTCTAATTGACCATGTGCAGAGGAAGGGCCAGTAGAGAAATCAGTAGGGCCATTGTAAGGCACACTGCATCAATCTCCCCTTTGTCCTGAATCTTTTCTAGCATGAGCTAAAATAATTAAGATTATTTCATTTATATTATTTGTACAGAAGCATATCTAGTCATGTTCCGGCAAAAATCATTGCAAGTTCCTTTTTTTACAAACGCATGTAACGAGGAATATGTATGTCTATTACACACCAGATAAACAGGTACCCAGCATCATTAACAATCAAATATTTAAAAAAGAAAAACAAAAAAAACATACCAAAACTCAAGAAAAGAGTGAACAAAAGAAGGAAAAGTGTGGGTTCATTAAAGCATGAACTGCTTTGCCTTTTCTAATGAAGTCAGAAAGTCTGAAATAAAAAAAGCCTAAAAACCAGAATTATTTTTTTCACTGTCCAAAATGCTCACCCTTAAAGTGTCTGTAATCTTCAATCTATTACTTTGCCTGCATAGATTTTACACACACCACCCACACTATGTGGGATGGTGAACATGGTCTCACTTCTTTCTGTGTGATCTAGATGCAAAGTACAGATTGTAA